GGTGATGAAATATTTGTAATTGTCATGTGTGGGTATATGGTAAGGACCCCAGAGGTCAACATGGAGGAGTTCAAAAATGGTATTAGAATGTGTGGTACTTTGACTAAAAGGTAGTCTTTCTTGTCTTGCCATGGGGCAAATGGTACACAAAAAGGGTTGTTTAGCAGAAAAACTAGCTGGAATTGTAGGTATATTTCTCATCTTTGCAAAAGGCACATGGCCAAGTCTATTGTGCCACAACAAGTCTACAGTATGTGTAGTAGAAGTAGTGTAAGAGTTATTGCCTTTTAACACATTTTGATCATTATCAGAAGTGGAAGAACATACAAAAGTATCAGTGCATTTATTTGCAAAGCAAGGATAACATTCAGCAGAAATGTTCTTATCATTTGAAACTTTACTACTAAGACTAGAAAAAGAAGGATTGATACAGCAACAAGTGGAGGATTTAACATTGTTCTTCAGACATCTTGAACAAAGGAAATAAAGCCCTTCTCTGCTATTACCAAGCACCTGAGGCCTCTTCACTGAAGGGGCCTGTAACAAACAAGATGCACTAGTGAACAAAACTGTGCAATTCATGGAAAGAGTCAAAGAATGAACTGAAACTAGATTGTATTTAAAAGAAGGCACATATAATACTTTGTGTAAAACAATTTCAGATGTGATCACTGCATCACCAAATTCTGTCACTCTAACTTTGTATCCATTAGGCAAAGAAACAAGCATAGGGTAAGGCATGGTTTGGATGTTGGTCAGAGAGGATCTGTTAAAGGTTATATGGTTTGATACCCCCGAGTCAATGATCCACAAGTCAGCACTTGATTTAAAACATTCACATGAAGATTTGCCAAAATCTACAGAGGAAGAACATACTACAATACCTGCAAAGTTCACAGAACCAGCACCTGTGTTCGAGTTAGTTGAATCCTCTCCCTCGACTCGAAAATGCTGCAGGAGATTCATGATATGAGCATATTGATCCTTAGTAAGTATGGCATTTTGCTTATGATTAACCTGTGGACAGTTTTCTCCTTGAGCTGGCATCATGTCATCAGGAGATCCATGCATATTAGCCACAACTCTCTTTCCCTTATATTCATGATTGTTGTTCTGTCTAACATAAAATCCATTGTTCCTGTTAGCCTGGTTGTTGTGTCCTTGTGGATATCCATTTAACTTGTAGCATTTCTCCTTGATATGTCCCGTCTTTTTGCAGAAATCACAAAACATAACATTCCTATTGCTACTGCTGCCTGAGTGATAATTGGATCCTCCATAGTTATTGTTATTTCCTGAGGTACTGTTACTTCCAGAATAGTTGTTGTTGGAGAATGATGTCTTGTAGTTCCTTCCTGCTGGGCCCTTTCCATTACTATTGGAAGTATTTACACTCAAAGAAGATGACTCCATAGGAACTCGACTAGAAGGTCTAAATTCTCTCTGTTTCTCCTCTTGGATCAGTAAAGAGAAAGCCTGCGCCATGGATGGAAGAGGATTCATCATAAGAATGTTACCTCTTACCACAGTGTATGCCTCATTCATCCCCATAAAAAACTGTACCAAACGTCTATCTTGTTCTGCTCTGTGTAGCCCATCCTTGGCTCCACAAGTGCAAGTGCAAGTGCAAGAGCACTGATTTCTCATATTCAGAGTATTCAATTCTTCCCAAAGCTTTTTGATTCTAGTGTAATAGACAGTGATGTCCAAATTTCCTTGTGTGAGATCATTAATTTCCTTCTGGATCTGATATAACTTTGCTTCATTAGTCTGATCATACCTATCTTCAAGTTCTTTCCAAAGCTCCACTGAATCATTAACGTATTCCACACTATCTGAAATCTCCTTAGTGAGGGAATTTAAGATCCAGGAAGTTACCATATCGTCACATCGTTGCCATTGACATGACTGAAGTGAATTCGCAGTTGGTTTACCACAGCTACCATCGATGAACCCGAGCTTGTTCTTCACTGACAAAGCTCGCATGGCTCCTCTTCTCCAGGATCGATATCCTGTGCCATCGAATTGAACTGGAACTAGTACCATTCCAGGGCTATCGGAGGGATGCACATAGAGAGCACTGCTCGCATCACCACTAGTAGAAGTTCCCTCTGTTGAAGGAATATTTTCAGCACCTGTCATGGTAAAAAGTCAACTAGAAAGATGAACGAAAAATTCAAATCGAAAGAGACGAGAGCAAGCTAGGCTCTGATACCATATCAAACTACACAACAATGAGCATCTAATCAAAGAACAACAGAGAAGCCATAATTGGCAATTGAGAGAAGCAGTTTACAGAATCTGAAATTTGAGAAAATGTGAACTCACACTTTGTGTATTACTCGATACAGATATATATACACAAGAATGTAATCTTGACAGCTGTATCCAACTAAGCAAAAGTAGAAGATAAGAGAAGAAAATATCCTAACTAACTTTCTGATTCCCTAACCAACTTGATGTGACAGCCTAACTAACAATCTAACTAATTGACTAGCTACGGTAATTAACACTAGTTACAACTAATTACAATGCATAATTAGATTGTTAATACTAGAATATCAAAAGGCTAGTTAAGAAATATTGAATGGATACAAACCTAGGGATGAAGATTGACTCAGAAAGGATTTCAAAGATCGGAACCTCACTAGCATAGTCCGCTTAGCCTCGGCAAGGCAGGATTCGGGTATGAAAACAACCACCGACGATAAAGATATATAAGATAAGCTTGTCAACATGAAAATCACAAAAAAGACTGAGATTCTCGTTAGCTAGTGTGCAATTGAATAGTTAGTGGTTAAGTGGGAAACTGAGAGAGGGGAAGATAAGCTTGTCAACACCTAAATCACAAAAGAGACTGAAATTCTCGTTAGCTAATGCGCAATTGAATAGTTAGTGGTTAAGTGAAAGACCGAGAGAGGGGCGAGCCCTATAACAATTGCCTAGTTCGTTCTCTATATGAATGGTCCGTTAGACATCTATGTTAAAAGTAAATATAAACTATTTGTTAGACGATAACAACAAAGATATATATGCACCATTTCTTTAATGAAAAATATATATCAACTTTAAATTACAAAATTGAGGGACATATTTGCCTTTTTTCCCTCTAACAAATTTGAAGATGAGTATTCAAAATTGATTTGTAGAAATATGGGAGGAGAATAATTAATGTATACTCTTTGTGTTCCATTTTATATTAACATGCATTTTGTTTAATTTTTATCAAAAGAATTAATGATAATTTTTTATATTTATATTTTTTGTTTTACTTTTAATAACATGCTATTATAATCATCAAAATATTATGCATGCCCTTCCCTTGAATCGCTCACCTCAAGTCCCAACACGTTTTCCATAAAACAATAATTTAAATTAAATTCTCACTTCATCACCAACCAAGTGATATACATTTTAAATTTATGTTTAATAACTATAATAAAATGATTTAATTTGATATATTTCGTACATCTTATTTAACTGTTGCCTTAACTCTTTTTTTTTGGTTAATTAACTTTGATTAATCACCATATGAAATATTTACAAAGCAAAGAGTTTCTACGGTCTTTGGCTGTTCCTTACCACTGAATCATCAATCAGTTTTATTAAAGGGTTTAATGTTACTGGTTCGTCCAAATCCCTTGTTAGCTCCTCCCCCTGCCTACCGGAACCAAGAAAGCTAAACTCAGCTATACTCTACGTATACTAAGATGTTTGGTCACGAATTATTTTCATTTTTTCCTCAACTCCGAAAGACATATTTAATCTTAAAATTCCGAAATTTAACTTCAAGTTAAATTTTAGAACTTTCAAAAAATTAAAAAATAAATTATTCAAAATAAACTCTAATTTTTAATATTATTTTTTACTTTAAAAATAATTTTTTTTTCCAAATTTCACAATTAAAAAGCAACTCAGCAATCAAAGGCGCGCAAACTCGACGGCAAATATGATTTGAATATTCAAGTTCCACACAATTCCAGTCAGCATTTTGTCAACCAGCTTAAGCCATATTTCACAGTCATGTTACGTATATTCATAAGCCAATTTTGGATTTAAAGACTTTAAGGTGTATTAATATTACTTTTCAGCTAATTAAAATAAAAATATTGAAAAAAGCTTTAGCTAAATTCAAAACGTGATCTCATGAATAATTCCTTCAGTTTGTACGAATAACACAAGAACACTTACATATTTTTTTTGGGTGTATGGTTAATTATATTCTAATTTCTCTCAATTTTTTCAAAATATATACATAATTTTTTTTTGGCCAAAGTCATCTGCGGCCCCTTAAAGTTGTCCGCATAATTCATTTAAACACCTCAACTAGAGCCAGTACCTATTGAACACCTAAAGTATTTAAATTGTGTATCTATTAAGCACAAAATACTGATGTGGCAAAAAACGTGTTCTTCACCTTCCATGAGCGCGTATAGATACCAACAAATGATATTTTCCTCTCTTTTTTTCCTGAAAAAGTACACTTATTAGCTTTATTATCATTGACATTAATTAATAAAGAAATAAAAAAAAACTAACAATTAAAAAAAACGTCTTCATTGTTTTATTGGTACACCTGCTATGTATTTGCGTTTGAGCTACACGCGATTTTGCTTTTCAACTTATTTTCATTTTGTGTCCAATAGATATAAATTTCTTAAGGTTAAAGTGTTCAATAGGTATTAGTCCTAGTTGAGGTGTCTAAATGAATTATGCGGACAACTTTAGGGGGCCGCAGATGACTTTGGCCTTTTTTTTTAAATTAACAGTTGCACTTACACCTTCACTTATAAGTATGAATCCGCCTGTCTGTATACTCTCATTTACACTTTTTAACAATACCATGAATCTGCCCCTTGTTTCTTCATAATCCAAACACTATATAAAGCTTCTCAACTCCCTCCATTTCTCTTACTCACAAAACAAAACAAAACAAAACAAAACAAAACAAAACAATTTCTTCATAATAACCTCTCCACGAGAATTCTGATTTATAAATAATGGACTTCAAAATCGGTGCAATCGACACTTGCAAGCCCATAAATGGCGACATAGCAAATGTACCAACCAATAAAGCCGTTACAATCCAAAACTCCACCATTCCATTCAATTCCCCTGACTCAACACTCGGCCGTCACCTCGCCCGCCGTTTAGTCCAAATCGGAGTAACCGACGTTTTCTCCGTTCCCGGTGATTTCAACTTGACACTTCTCGATCATCTCATAGCTGAACCCGAACTTAACCTTATAGGTTGTTGTAATGAGCTAAATGCCGGTTATGCTGCTGATGGATATGCTAGGGCACGGGGAATTGGGGCTTGTGTTGTTACCTTCACCGTCGGTGGATTAAGTATTGTTAATGCAATTGCTGGTGCTTATAGTGAAAATTTACCTTTGATTTGTATTGTTGGTGGACCTAATTCGAATGATTATGGAACTAATAGAATCCTTCATCATACTATTGGGTTACCTGATTTTAGTCAAGAGCTTCGTTGTTTTCAAACTGTTACTTGCTATCAGGTAGGTTCATCAATTTTACTACTCCGATGGCCTAAATTATGTGGCACTGTTAAAATTTCGAAATCTAAATTGTATGAAACCTGTTGTTTGATTTTAGAGTATTTTTTTCTGGGTTTTGCAGGCTGTGTTGAATAATTTAGACGATGCTCATGAACTGATTGATACTGCAATTTCCACATCTTTGAAAGAGAGTAAGCCGGTTTATATTAGTGTAGGATGTAATTTGCCCGGGATTCCACACCCTACTTTCAGTCGTGAACCAGTTCCGTTTTCCCTCTCTCCTAGGTAAAGTATTGTTTTCTACGTCTATTAGGAGAAAATATTTACGTCAAGTAGCTCATGTTTTGAGCTTGTTACACTTTTATATACTCCAGACATAATGTTGTATAATACTCATTGTATATTGGACACGCATATTTTGAAATGTTCCCTAAAATATATTCTTTGACCTTTGGTTATATTTTTTTAAAAAAAAAATTATGTTCTGATTGTAGACTCTGTTTTCATGATGAAGTCGTTTATCTACAATCTTGAACAGTAGATGCATCCACTCTCCTTTTATGTTGTATCTGCCTCTATTTAAGCAGGCCTGAAACTAGAAGCCTTGATATGGGTTCGGTCGAATCTAATAATTTTTGTTCAAATAGGGTGTTTGTATTAAGAAGTTTATTAAAATATCAAAAACTTTTAAGTTCAGAAACTAATTATTAACACTTGAAATTATCCTATAAAATTCATCAGAATCGTAAGGTTAAAATTCTGGCTTCGCCTCTGTGTTTTAAGTATCCGAGTTTCTTATTTTTTTTTATTTTTTTTTGTGGTATAGATTAAGTAATATGATGGGCTTGGAAGCAGCAGTGGAAGCAGCGGCTGAGTTCTTGAACAAAGCAGTAAAGCCAGTGCTTGTTGGAGGGCAAAATATGCGCGTTGCAAAGGCATGTGATGCTTTTGTTGAGCTGGCTGACAGCTGTGGTTACGCGGTGGCAGTGATGCCAGCCGCTAAAGGTTTGGTTCCGGAACACCATCCACATTTCTTAGGAACTTACTGGGGTGCAGTGAGCACGACCTTCTGTGCTGAAATTGTTGGATCTGCTGATGCGTACTTGTTTGCTGGACCAATTTTTAACGACTATAGTTCTGTTGGTTATTCTCTTCTTCTCAAGAAAGAGAAAGCGATCATTGTCCAGCCTGATCGTGTGACAATTGGGAACGGACCTGCATTTGGTTGTGTTCTGATGAGGGATTTCCTTTCCGCATTAGCAAAGAGATTAAAGCATAATCCAACTTCTTATGAGAATTATCATAGGATTTATGTTCCTGATGGACTTCCTTTCAAATGCGAGCCTAAGGAGGCATTAAGAGTTAATGTTCTATTTCAGCACATTCAGAATATGTTGACTGGTGAGAGTGCTGTGATTGCTGAGACGGGGGACTCGTGGTTCAACTGTCAGAAGCTGAAATTGCCACAAGGATGCGGGTAAGAACAGAACAAATCAACGCAAATTGCTGTCATTTTGGTATTTATTTCCATCATCATAACTAATGAGTTTTGTTCTTCTTGATTGTCATTTTTAGGTACGAGTTCCAAATGCAGTATGGATCTATCGGTTGGTCTGTTGGTGCAACTCTTGGTTATGCACAAGCTGCACCAGAAAAACGGGTGATTGCCTGCATCGGTGATGGTAGCTTTCAGGTAATTAACAATAGAGAAGAATGAATAGTTGACGTTCCCGGTGTGTGTAATCCAACTTTATCGCAAATGAAATGTACTTGCAGGTGACTGCTCAAGATATTTCAACAATGCTAAGGTGTGGGCAGAGGACCATTATATTTTTGATAAACAATGGTGGTTATACAATTGAAGTTGAGATCCATGATGGACCTTACAATGTGATCAAGAATTGGAACTACACAGGATTAGTCGATGCAATCCATAACGGAGAAGGAAAATGTTGGACAACTAAGGTGAGTGAAAGTTCAAATTTTCAATCATCGCCTTTGTTTTTTACTCTGAACCTTGAATGAAAGGATTTAAATATATTGCACGTCTTGATTGTATGTAGGTTTATTGTGAAGAAGAGTTGGTGGAAGCAATTGAAACAGCAAATGGAGCAAAGAAAGATTGTTTGTGTTTCATTGAAGTGATTGTCCACAAAGATGACACTAGCAAAGAGCTGCTTGAATGGGGTTCTAGGGTCTCAGCAGCTAATAGTCGTCCACCAAATCCACAGTAAAATTTCTACTTGTTCAAAGAATATTGAATTTACTGCAAAATTTTCTTGCAATTTGGGAGTTGCCACTATATGCTGTAATATTTTTTTCCCAGTGAGGGGTTGTATTCCACTAACATGGATGGTTGGTGTTGTGTTGTATTGTATTGTTATTTTAAATACGATGTTTATTTTCATTATTACTTAAATTCTATTGTATCGTATCGTTTAGATTTATTATTAGGTAACGACCAATTTGGTGTGATCGTGTCGTTACCTTAATATTTTCCTCTCTTTTTGTCTTTATTTATTATTTAATAATTATATTTCATCTTTTATCCTACATTTTCATAGTAGCTCTACCTTGCACCTCGTTTTTCTTGTAGGTTTATCATTCAAATTGTGGATGTGTGACATTATGTAATGATGGAAAACGATACAATTTATCCAAACATTGTATTCATTTAAACAATATAATACGATACAATACTATACGATACATTATGAAACAATACATAACAACCATTCACTCATACCATTTTATGCCTTAGCATAAATTATTTAATTTTTGAAATTTTGGGACTATTTTCATTTTCTGGAATTTTTTTTAATACGGATGATTTTTTTTAAATCTTCCAATGATTTTAGAATTTTTTTTTTTTTTAAAAAGAAATTAATGATGAAGCTGAAATTTGAGATGATTTCGTGAAGAATGGAAGATGTTGAAAATTTGGGAGTTGTTTATGTTCTTAATAAAAGAAGCAAAAAGTGTACATTTGATCCAAAAACTCCAATTGAAAAGAGTTAAACCTTGTTTGGGTGTAAAAAATGATTTAGCAAAACCGTAGTTAAAAAAAGGCATGAATGAACATTTTCTTTAACAACAATGACATATATGAGCCAAACTTTTAACATATGACATAAATAAGTCTTTTTTAAAAGTTTGATGACATATTTGATTTTTTTTCCCTTAAAAAAATATAATACGATTATATATGATTTCAGGAGGAAAACATAGATTCACGTAAACGCGGTGACCCCTCTCGGATACGTTGGCCTTTTTGTCGACAAGCAAGAATCTTGAATATTCTGTTCTCCATGTTAGGGTGGGGGCTGCTAATGGACTAGTAGAAGCCAATTAAACGAAGACACATGTCATATTAGGCGTGCATGTAAGACACACGTAAGTCTTAGAGAAGAAAATACCTTGACCTACAAGTCTAAAACCATGAGGAGGTCATAGATATTTACTTTTTCTGCTGCCTCAACACTACCACAATTTAATATTTGATTAATTAAAAATTTAAAGAAATTATTACACTTGTCATATAAATATGAGTAAAAATGTTGATCAGAGATTCATATAATTTGACTTTATAAAAGAAGTATTTTCTCGGTTCATTTTTAATTGTCACTGTTTAACTTGATACACTTATTAAGAAAATAATTATTGCTATAGAAATTTTATCAAGCTATCCTATTAAATGATGTTTAGTACTTTATTTGTCTCTAATTACTTGTCTAGTTTTCCTTTTTTAGTTGTCTCTTTTTATTTGTTCATTTTGATAAATCAAGAAAAGACAATTGTTTTACCTATTATATCCTCAATTAATTAATTTTGAAAAAACTACAACTTCTTGAAAATTTTAAATTATTAATTCATCCACTTCATAATTAATAGGATAAAATGATAAGCTCATTATGTCAATCATTATTTTTTTAATAGGTGTGTCAATTCAAAAGTGGACAAAATAATTGGGGACATAGGGAGTACTACATCTTAGAGAATGATTTGGAGAACAAATATTTAATGTCGTGGGTAAAACATGAAAAAAATAATTATTTTATTTTTTCTTGATATATCAAAAGTGATAGCTCACGTGATTTTATGTCGGTTAATAGTAGCTCCCACAGTCAGACTCCTCAGTGCATTTGACCTGATTTTCAGTTATACAACAATATTCAATCTCAACATGTTATGTTAGAAATCAGCACTTGATCATTGCATTCAGTTCAGTTCATTTCAGTATAATTCAATATTATTGTTATAATTCAGATTATGTCATTGCTTAGTTATGTTTTGTTCAACTTATAATGTTTGTTCAATATTCTATATCCTGCATGCTCAGTACATTCCAAGTACTGACGCATACTATGCGCTACATCCTTTCATGATGTAGGTTTATGTCCTCAACATTCAGATCACGCGTAGATTGATTCCCGATCCATACTCAACAACATCAGTGGTAAGTCCTCATACTTCGAGGACAATAGACATGTTTTCTATTTCAGTCTTTCATTTCGGTTTCAGTTTTGGTCCCCAGGTAACCCTAGTCAGTAGAGTCTTTTTCAGACATAGTTTTAGAGTCAGCTTTAGCATTTGAGTGATTGTTTAGTATCGCTATCAGGGGCGAACCTAAGTGGAGCCTAGGGGGTTCACCCGAACCCCTCGTCGAAAAATTACACTGTATATATAAGGTAGACTTCTGATTTTAAGCTTATAGATAGTAAAATGAACCCCCTCAACAACCAAAAGAGGAGCGTGGCTCACTGTCAAGGGGGTTCATTGCTAAAATGCATGTTCAGAGTTCGATTCTTGTTGGGTGCAACATGTTTAATTTCAACTTTTTTTTTGCTTTGAAAAGGTTGAGATGAGCTCAGTTTTGGGCTTAGAATACCCAATAAAATGCTTCATTATTTTTGGATTCAATCTAAAACTATATTATTTTTATTTTTTTAATTTTTCTTTTTATGTTTTTTCTTTTTCTCAATTTATCTTTGTTTAAATTTATTAGGCACATTTTTTATATTTTTATCTTTTATTCTTCTTATTTATATTGCTCATTTTATTTCTACATAACTCTCTTCTCATGTACTAACTTAAAGAAACTCTTTGAGAAAATGATGAATTGTTATTAAATTTAAAATTGAATTAGAAAACTATTAAATAAAATAAAGTAATTAAGATTAATTAAATGGAAAACTTTAAAAGTTGTGAATATTCTTTTAATAAAATCTATTTAATTGAATTTTTTCTTAATTTAACTGTATCTCTTTCTTACTATTTTCAAGCCGATTCTAAAGAGATTAAAACTAAATTAAACTTATTTGATTGATTCATAATTTATTTTTTTTAACAAATAATTAACCTAGTAAATTGAATTAAATGAACTAAAAAAATCGATGATGTTATTTATTTATCTTCAGAATATGCACTATAATATTAGTAACTCGATCTTTACACATTTCTAAGGAATCTTGATGGTTTTTAAAGTAACATATGATTAAATGTGCACTAATTCAAAATTTAGAAAAAAAATCTAAAAAGTAGAATACTGCAAAATAAAATGAAAGGCACTAGAAATTTTAAAAGCTCGATGGACCAGGGTAAAAGTAGGAAGAACCTAAACATAATATGACAATATAAGTTAAATTTAGCAAATTAAAATTAAAATTTTCCTCCCATGTCACTCGATTTTTCATCTTGTAACTTTTACGTCTTTACTTCTTTGTACTTCGACCCCCCTCAACAAAAATTCTGGATCCGCCACTGATCGCTATACTCTTATTCCGTATTAATATATTCAGACCAGTTTTGGGTATTACCCACTATCAGTTATAAATTGATTTAGCTTCCGCATTAGTTCGTGTTTTCATAGATATATTCAGTTTGCTTATGATATGCCAGCTCAGGGTTAGTTTGGGGTCACTCGTGATCCTAGGTCCCGTATTTACTTCAAGGAGATAGCCTCGAGATGTGACATGTGGAGTCTCCGATGATGGAGATGCACAGTTTCCAGAATCTAGTCATTAACAACGACAACATTGTTGGTCACAGTAACTTCAAGATGATATTTGTAAATTTCGACTTCATAAATTTCAGCTATTTTTTTAAAAAAAAGAGTATTTTTTGTAAAATAATTCATTCATGAATTGACGGATATATATAACAATTTAGAGACTTCAAACGAACTTCTCCAAAAGCTTCCTAATTTTTTTTCCCTTAAACCCCGTTGCCTAAGATATTAATGAAAAGTTACCTAAAATGTTATATTTACACGGGATTAATATTTTAACTTAATTTTGGATATGCATTTATATTTAAAAAAAATTAAACACTTTATGTCATATATACTATTAAAATGCTATGTTTACACCCTCTATGAGAATATATCCCTAACTGAATATATTAAAAGATAAAATTATAATTACAAATAAAATATTCTTACATATTTATTTATTGTGAAATAGGTAAAACAAAAATATATCCATGTCATTGATTAGCCATTTCGTAGAAACTATCTAATTACACAAACAATTCTTCATATAGTTTGAAATAATTACATTTTATATCAATAGTTACTAATTTCATATTAGATTTCAAATCAAATACAACTAGATACATGAATTTTGCTACCATATACACTGAAATAGGGAGAGGAAAGCTAGAACAAAAGAGGAGGTGAGCAAGGTATGCTTATGTATATCAGATATATGCGAATCACACTAAATGCATGTATCTGAGATGCCAGAATCATAGGAGAATGGCAAGCGGGATTTGTCTAAGTATCTCAAATATATGTGAATCCACTTAGATACAATGAATCTAGAATAAATTACATCTAATTTTGCCCTCATGTATCCTGTAATATATGTATCTGATTTCTATTTTTTAATTAATAAGTAAATTAAAAAATGTTAAAAAAAGAATTCTATGAGTCACTACACTTATTAGTATAAATATATATTTGTCATGCTTCTTTTCCTTCCACAGATTCCTTATTTACATCTCAATTTTTTTTGTTATTATTGAAGATTATGTTTGTGCTTATGAGTTTGATGTTATATTTTTTTATGCTTTCTAACAATTATTATACAATCAATTCTTTTTACTATTTTACGTTTTGCATATTCATGTTTGAATCGAAGAAAGATTCATGACTTTTGATCGTATTTGAGTTGATCATGATGATTATTCAACATATATGTATCAGTTTAGTTTTTATTTCTTGTGCATAATATAT